AACCTCTACTAAAAGCACAGTCAGTTGTACAGTTTGGAGATGTTACACGACCATTAGCAACCTCTACTAAAAGCACAGTCAGTTGTACAGTTTGGAGATGTTACACGACCATTAGCAACCTCTACTAAAAGCACAGTCAGTTGTACAGTTTGGAGATGTTACACGACCATTAGCAACCTCTACTAAAAGCACAGACAGTTGTACAGTTTGGAGATGTTACACGACCATTAGCAACCTCTACTAAAAGCACAGTCAGTTGTACAGTTTGGAGATGTTACACGACCATTAGCAACCTCTACTAAAAGCACAGTCAGTTGTACAGTTTGGAGATGTTACACGACCATTAGCAACCTCTACTAAAAGCACAGTCAGTTGTACAGTTTGGAGATGTTACACGACCATTAGCAACCTCTACTAAAAGCACAGTCAGTTGTACAGTTTGGAGATGTTACACGACCATTAGCAACCTCTACTAAAAGCACAGTCAGTTGTACAGTTTGGAGATGTTACACGACCATTAGCAACCTCTACTAAAAGCACAGTCAGTTGTACAGTTTGGAGATGTTACACGACCATTAGCAACCTCTACTAAAAGCACAGTCAGTTGTACAGTTTGGAGATGTTACACGACCATTAGCAACCTCTACTAAAAGCACAGTCAGTTGTACAGTTTGGAGATGTTACAACCTCTACGACCATTAGCAACCTCAACCTCTACTAAAAGCACAGTCAGTTGTACAGTTTGGAGATGTTACACGACCATTAGCAACCTCTACTAAAAGCACAGTCAGTTGTACAGTTTGGAGATGTTACACGACCATTAGCAACCTCTACTAAAAGCACAGTCAGTTGTACAGTTTGGAGATGTTACACGACCATTAGCAACCCTCTACTAAAAGCACAGTCAGTTGTACAGTTTGGAGATGTTACACGACCATTAGCAACCTCTACTAAAAGCACAGTCAGTTGTACAGTTTGGAGATGTTACACGACCATTAGCAACCTCTACTAAAAGCACAGTCAGTTGTACAGTTTGGAGATGTTACACGACCATTAGCAACCTCTACTAAAAGCACAGTCAGTTGTACAGTTTGGAGATGTTACACGACCATTAGCAACCTCTACTAAAAGCACAGTCAGTTGTACAGTTTGGAGATGTTACACGACCATTAGCAACCTCTACTAAAAGCACAGTCAGTTGTACAGTTTGGAGATGTTACACGACCATTAGCAACCTCTACTAAAAGCACAGTCAGTTGTACAGTTTGGAGATGTTACACGACCATTAGCAACCTCTACTAAAAGCACAGTCAGTTGTACAGTTTGGAGATGTTACACGACCATTAGCAACCTCTACTAAAAGCACAGTCAGTTGTACAGTTTGGAGATGTTACACGACCATTAGCAACCTCTACTAAAAGCACAGTCAGTTGTACAGTTTGGAGATGTTACACGACCATTAGCAACCTCTACTAAAAAGCACAGTCAGTTGTACAGTTTGGAGATGTTACACGACCATTAGCAACCTCTACTAAAAGCACAGTCAGTTGTACAGTTTGGAGATGTTACACGACCATTAGCAACCTCTACTAAAAGCACAGTCAGTTGTACAGTTTGGAGATGTTACACGACCATTAGCAACCTCTACTAAAAGCACAGTCAGTTGTACAGTTTGGAGATGTTACACGACCATTAGCAACCTCTACTAAAAGCACAGACAGTTGTACAGTTTGGAGATGTTACACGACCATTAGCAACCTCTACTAAAAGCACAGTCAGTTGTACAGTTTGGAGATGTTACACGACCATTAGCAACCTCTACTAAAAGCACAGTCAGTTGTACAGTTTGGAGATGTTACACGACCATTAGCAACCTCTACTAAAAGCACAGTCAGTTGTACAGTTTGGAGATGTTACACGACCATTAGCAACCTCTACTAAAAGCACAGTCAGTTGTACAGTTTGGAGATGTTACACGACCATTAGCAACCTCTACTAAAAGCACAGACAGTTGTACAGTTTGGAGATGTTACACGACCATTAGCAACCCTACTAAAAGCACAGTCAGTTGTACAGTTTGGAGATGTTACACGACCATTAGCAACCTCTACTAAAAGCACAGTCAGTTGTACAGTTTGGAGATGTTACACGACCATTAGCAACCTCTACTAAAAGCACAGTCAGTTGTACAGTTTGGAGATGTTACACGACCATTAGCAACCTCTACTAAAAGCACAGTCAGTTGTACAGTTTGGAGATGTTACACGACCATTAGCAACCTCTACTAAAAGCACAGTCAGTTGTACAGTTTGGAGATGTTACACGACCATTAGCAACCTCTACTAAAAGCACAGTCAGTTGTACAGTTTGGAGATGTTACACGACCATTAGCAACCTCTACTAAAAGCACAGTCAGTTGTACAGTTTGGAGATGTTACACGACCATTAGCAACCTCTACTAAAAGCACAGTCAGTTGTACAGTTTGGAGATGTTACACGACCATTAGCAACCTCTACTAAAAGCACAGTCAGTTGTACAGTTTGGAGATGTTACACGACCATTAGCAACCTCTACTAAAAGCACAGTCAGTTGTACAGTTTGGAGATGTTACACGACCATTAGCAACCTCTACTAAAAGCACAGACAGTTGTACAGTTTGGAGATGTTACACGACCATTAGCAACCTCTACTAAAAGCACAGACAGTTGTACAGTTTGGAGATGTTACACGACCATTAGCAACCTCTACTAAAAGCACAGTCAGTTGTACAGTTTGGAGATGTTACACGACCATTAGCAACCTCTACTAAAAGCACAGTCAGTTGTACAGTTTGGAGATGTTACACGACCATTAGCAACCTCTACTAAAAGCACAGTCAGTTGTACAGTTTGGAGATGTTACACGACCATTAGCAACCTCTACTAAAAGCACAGTCAGTTGTACAGTTTGGAGATGTTACACGACCATTAGCAACCTCTACTAAAAGCACAGTCAGTTGTACAGTTTGGAGATGTTACACGACCATTAGCAACCTCTACTAAAAGCACAGTCAGTTGTACAGTTTGGAGATGTTACACGACCATTAGCAACCTCTACTAAAAGCACAGTCAGTTGTACAGTTTGTTTGAGATGTTACACGACCATTAGCAACCTCTACTAAAAGCACAGTCAGTTGTACAGTTTGGAGATGTTACACGACCATTAGCAACCTCTACTAAAAGCACAGTCAGTTGTACAGTTTGGAGATGTTACACGACCATTAGCAACCTCTACTAAAAGCACAGTCAGTTGTACAGTTTGAAAATGACTAAAGACCACATTGAAGTTAATGTTTTGCAATGGGGGAGCCAAGGTGGGGTTCAGGGGTTCTAAGTCCCTGACAACCCCCTCCTTTGAACATTTCTGGATCAGCCTATGCACAGCATTGAACAACACTGATAATATTCCAGACTGTTAGCATACATAAAGTTTCAGTTGGCTACGCATCGTTGCTTCTACGAGGAATAGATGAATTGGGTACAGTGTCTGCTCACGTATCTGCCCCTTACATAGTGATGTGCAAGGGTGTGTCGCTGCTTGTACTAGTCCAAACTGACGCTTGTTTTATAGCACAAGCACATGGAGAACATGGAACTTGGGTGAGTGAGTGGGTTTAGTTTTCCGCCGCCTTTAGCAATATTCCAGCAATATCACGCCGGGGGACATCAGAAACACAGGCCCTCGCGTCTTTGCGCGGATTAAAGATTTAAAAAATATATTTTAAAAATTGAGATGACCCCCGACTAGAAATACTTCGCAGTACAAGTCATTATGTATTGTACTGTGAAGCATTTTGAGTCGGGGGTCATCTCAAAACAAGTTAAAGCTTTAATCCTCGCAAAGACACGAGGGCCTGTGATCATACTTTGTTCCCATGTGGCGTGACGAGCGACGAGCCTTAACCACTGGGCTACCCGACGGCCCTGAAACCCCATTTGGACACATACTGACTCCAAGTGAGTGAGTGAGTTAAGATTTTAAGTCACATCGGCAATATTTCAGCCATATCGTGACTAACTGACTCCAAACCCCACAGTAGTACAGTCGTAGTAGTACATTTAGCTGGGGGCACAGTGAGGTTAACCGTTCTATCCCCTCAAGGTGAGGCAAGGAAACAGTGCGATCTGTCAAGGTCACTTGGTACATGCAGCTAGGGATGGAACCGCAAACCTTTCTCTGTGGCAGTGAGTGAGCGAGTTTAGTTTTACGCAGCACTCACCAATATTCCAGCTATATGGCGGCGGTCTGTAAATAATCGAGTCTGGACCAGACAATCCGATGATCTACAGCATGAGCATCGATCTGCGCAACTGGGAACCGATGACATGTGTCAACCAAGTCAGCGAGCCTGATCCCGTTAGTCGCCTCTTACGACAAGCATGGGTTACTGAAGATCAATTCTAACGAGGACCTACACGGGTATCTCTCTGGCAGACTGGTCTTATGAGAAGACTGTCTCTCAAGATGAGAATCAAGTGTCTCAAACATGCTAGAGGTATAGGAATTCTTTATGTCCAAGAACACATACAAAAAGAAAAAAGTTGAAAATGTGAGAAAATGTGACAGCCATGCTTACTGACAGATTGCCATGACGCTTTATTTGGCCTCAGTCAAGATGGGCAGCAGATAGAGGTTGAAACCAAATACCTTTTCAAGTAAGGATCTGATTCTCAGTCACATCTGACACAAATGGCTACCTGCCTGCATTTGAGATATATACCAATGTGTGGATTGAAACCTTGACCTTCACCATGACAGGCACATACTTCACAGGGGTGGTGGGGGTAGCCGAATGGTTAAATCGTTTGCTCATCACACCGAAGGCCGGATTCAGTTCCCCACATGGCTGCAATGTGTGAAGCAGATTTCTGTTGTCCCCACGGTCATATTGATGGAATATTGTTGAAACCATACTCACTAACTCATTCATGCTTCACACTAAATGGACAAAACAAATTTAAAATATATGTTTTATTTGAAAGCATTCATATTCTTTAAAGGCAATAATGAGTATATTATGGCAACCAAACACATTTACATATTATGCAAAACAAATACTATGCATTCCTTTCTACCATACTAGTGGTTTACTATCCGGTGTATTATATTTCTATTCTCTGGCCATAAATACCCTGGACCTGTTGATCTCCATAGTTACATGCAATCAAAGTGACACAAATCATGAGTGTCAAACTGAAGATACTGATACAAAAGTATGATGTCACTTCCACAAGACTTTCATAAATAAAATTAAACATAGCGCCAGGAAACTGTAGCTTACTTGGATGTGTAGTCAGTAGCTTTAAACATCCACAATACATACACGCGGAAGTTCAGTACACTCTGTCAAATATTTCTACAGGGGCAGCCATATTGAAAATCCGTAAAGTTGTTTCTGAAGCAATGACGTTCACTACTGACATTGCACAAGCAGGCCACAACAGAAGCTCACTACAGTCTGGGCAGGTGTATGTATATATCACCATATATATGATTCTCAACAAAGTATTCCAACATCTGCACACTTTAGCTGTCATGGGATGACCTGGGGCATTGTCACTGACTGATATGTAAAGTGGAAAAACAAGCAACAGTGTTCCCATCTGTTAAAATACTTAACAACAACATGGTGAGAGCCCAGTGTTTGGTAATGAGCCCGCAGGCTGAGATGAAAATCTAACGATCAATAACCCAGTTTCACTGAACACAATTTAAACTGAAGACAATTGTTAAACTTGAACACTGGTATCTTCAATGAATTACAACTGAACTCTATATAAGGAGACACATGTACACATGCACAGACAGGGACATAGAGGTTAGATGTCTTGTTCCCTGTAACATTAACAAGGACACAAGTACCATGTTCAATCCATGTTCTTCAAAGTGAGAGGACCACTGGTCACAAATACGTATTGAAAGTAAGATTGTATCATCAACAATACTTTCTTTATGATGAAAACTCACTTTCCAAATATAATATTTTATGACATACATGTCTATCTAAAAAATGAAACAGCCTCATGCACAAAAATGGTGTTTGCCAAGCGAGCTCAAAACACCTCAAAGTACAAGAGTTTTCTTATTGCATGCATGTGCACATGTGTAAACAGCATGACAGGGCATGTATATTGTTCTTGTACTCATCCCTAGTTCACCAAGATACCATGCCACATTCTGACATGGAACCCTGTACAGTCCCAGCTGACCAGTTCTTGGAACCCTGTACAGTCCCAGCTGACCAGTTCTTGGAACCCTGTACAGTCCCAGCTGACCAGTTCTTGGAACCCTGTACAGTCCCAGCTGACCAGTTCTTGTTTACCCTGTACAGTCCCAGCTGACCAGTTCTTGGAGCCCTGTACAGTCCCAGCTGACCAGTTCTTGGAACCCTATACAGTCCCAGCTGACCAGTTCTTGGAACCCTGTACAGTCCCAGCTGACCAGTTCTTGGAACCCTGTACAGTCCCAGCTGACCAGTTCTTGTTTACCCTGTACAGTCCCAGCTGACCAGTTCTTGTTTACCCTGTACAGTCCCAGCTGACCAGTTCTGGTTTACCCCGTGCTGTACAGTCCCAGCGGACCAGTTCTGGTTTACCCTGTACAGCCCCAGCTGACCAGTTCTGGTTTACTCCCATCACCAGGCAGGGCAATGACAAGTAACATTTTAATGTACTTTTAATGATTATCCAATTCATTGTGTTTGTTATTTCAATTATACTACTCAACTGTTCATTAGTATAGACAAAGTGTCCAGGGGTGAACTGAATGTGACTGACAAATGTCCTTCCAGTAGAATCTGCAAGCATGTAACTGGCACATTTTCAGTTTACTTCAAAGTGTAATAATGTTAGTGAGTGAGTTATTATTTAACGTCACATCGGCAATATTTCAGCCATATCGTGACGAGTAATAATGTTAAAGAGACTAGGCCTTGAATAGATCTTGTCTTCAGCAGATTTCAGCCTTGTCCTAAAGTATTATATCTATAATAATGCTGATGATTCCGATATGTTGCTATTAGACCAAACTGGAAAAATGGATCCTTTCAAAGTAATGAAGTGCATCATGTTAAACTGCATCATTCACTGAGCCTATAATGATGACATCATGTGGACCCTGTGTGGACCCTGTGTGGACACTGTGTGCACACTGTATGGACCCTGTGTGGACCTTGTGTGGACACTGTATGGACCCTGTGTGGTCACTATGGACCCTGTGTGGACACTGTATGGACCCTGTGTGGACACTGTATGGACCCTGCAGCTATGAAATCATGGTGCCTTCCCATCATAATACAGGACACTGCATATCCTAACTCATACAAGAATTAGAACCCAATCGGGACAGTGTTTGCGTCAAAATCTACAATTTACTATCTGGGTGGGGTTTTTTTTATAAAAAAATATGTTACTGTAGTTATATGCAATTTGCCTCCAAAGTAAGGGTTGGTGCTGTTTGAGCATCATAACTGGAATTTATCATTGTACTATGCAAACATAATATGTACATATAACAGCTGCATACTGAAGAACATAATTGCACATTTAGACATTTACACCCACATACGAACATGTAAGGTGAAAGATTTCAGTCAGCATTATCTGCAAGCATTAACAGAGATTCCCCTTATATTATTGACGAGATTCTCAGTAACTGGTCCGAAATCCAGTTTGTTGAGTCACTGACAGTAACCGGCATCCGGTGAATATGTTGGAAATCTAAAATGGCACTGGCTAGATCAGTGAGTTTTTGAGAGTTGTTTCCCTTTAGAGACTGTTTCCATAGTTACTGCATTAAGAGAGGGTTTCTCACTAGACATATACAATCAATAATACTTCAATTCTATAGTCCATGTTTTGCAAATATTTTGATATCAGTAAAAGATTTGCAAACAAATATTTCTGATCACTATGAATAGACAGATTACACATGTAACACAATTGTTTTCTTTATCAAAACACATGATTGTTTACCTTTATAAAATACATATTACATAGCATCATATAGTTGAATTGTGGTTGAATGCATGTTTACCATGCAATGTGGAAAGTTAGAGACTCTTGTCTGTGGTTGAACTTAGCAGTGGACACAGATAAACTGTTTAAAGCATAATGAAAATCTTCATCTGTTTCAGGTCCAGCTTCAGAAAACAGATTTAACAAAGAACGAAGGCATTGAGGGAGTTCTCCACAGTTCATGGTGACCATACAGTGAAATTTAAGCAAATCCTTGATGTTCCACGGCTCACAGTACCATTAGTCTGGGAGCTGTCATTTCAAGTCAATCTGTTTCATCAGCTTTCAAAATGTCTTTTCCCATCAAGATAAAGCATGAACTCTGAAATACATGAAGGAAACAATAGCAGTATCTATATGTATGATATATTTCAGCTTAACCAGATGTCAGTGTCCTGTAAACATCCTGGACCAGACACACACAGTAGAAGCAGATTACCATGAATCTCCTTCCAATGGAAACACCATATGTGACACGTGCTTCAATGAGCAGGACACTCTTCATCATCCTCATTCAATACTTCCGTGGACATTTACTAAATAGGCTACTCCGAGATTACACAAAACTGGTCACATATCAGCATCATGGTTGCATGCATACATTGTTTAACTTTATACTCAGCAATATTCCAGCTATATGGCGGTGGTCTGCAAATAATTGTGTCTGGACCAGACAATCCAGTGATCAACAGCATGAACATCGATCTACATAATTGGGACACGATGACATGTGTCACAAGGCCAATTCTAACCTGGTCAAATGCACTGTTTCTATATGTAAGTAAATCTATGAGATGCATGGAAGTATAAAATGTTTACTTTTATAAGAAACAGTTTGGTACATTTCAGCTTGAAAAGTCAGAATTATTCACTCCTGAATACACTTCAGTAAATCATCATATTGTACGAACCAGCATAGGATTTTGGTATCACTCTTGGCAGGTTTTCATCCTGGGAGTCAAAGGTGAAATGAAAGTCATTCGTTGTCTCCCTTACTCCAGTGTCAACATCTAAAACCTCAGCATGAACTTTAATCTGCATCAGGGACTTGTGAGTGTACACCACCTGCCAGAGACAAAAGGTCATATTTCATCAACAAATTGACATCACTAATATGTAATTAAGGACTACTTTTAGTGTTGTTGGCTTTTTTTTATTGATTTTGGGTTTATTTTAATGTACATCAAACAATGGTATACAGAGTGAGTGAGTGAGTTTAGGCTTACACTGCGTTTAGCAATATTCCAGCAATATCACCGCTCGGAACACCAGAAATGGGCTTCACACATTGTATCCGTGTGGTGAATCGAACCTGGATCTTCAGCGTGATGTGAGAACGCGTTAGCCATTAGTCCACCCCATCACCCTAATTGTATGGACAATAATATTATTCCCTTGTAAGTATGAGTAGGTTGGGTTTAACCAAGCCTAGAACAGTATTCCAGTTACAGTGAACACTATTGGACGAAGTTATAGGGATCTAATCAAATTCTTCAAGTTATCTGAGGTTCAATAGAATGGAAGCTACGATGAATATAGAAGAAATTTGCAAGACAGAGAGAGACAGTTTTCTCCATTCAGACACTGCCAGAGAGCTTGACACGAACTTTGAAAGTCTGTCGAGATGACTGTATTTCCACACAACAGGCTGTATATGGTGGCGGGTCTGCTTAATGTGGGAGGAAAGCCTGATGTAACGTAGGTCCCAGAATTTAACCACTTCAGCGGACCCATGAGCACAGGTAAGATATGACAAACCTCTAAACACAATCGGCACAGGGCAAACTGTGATTCAAACCCATGATAGGTTTGTGGTGCCTGGACAACTGGGGCGCCACCATATAGCTGGAATATTGCTGAGTGCAGCATAAAACTTAACTCACTCACTCACTCACTCACTGAAGATCAATATTCTAACCCGGATCTTCACGGGTTTGTAGGATGGACAAGCTCTAGAAACTCAGGAGTCAACCTCGCCAAATACTCAGCTATCCATCTACTTTGTTTCACCAACACTGCCTAACTTCTCCTACATGTGTGGCCTGTATACAGAACCAAGTACCACCTGTAACTCTGTATCCCTGTGGAAAGACATTTGACTGATGTTAACAAGTTCACTTGGGACAAATAATCTGGTAAAGTTCCGTTAGGCCAGACCAATATTTTATTTCTTGTTTTACGGATCTGCCGGTCATATTTTTCAAGAATAAGAAAAAATAAATAAATTAATTTTCCCCGCCCAAAAAATAAAATCCTAATGTTAATGTGATACAAGTGAAATACTCTTGAAATCAGTGTGAAACCTAAACTCACTCAACTTATTTTTAAATGATATAAACAAACCAAAAGAGTTAACATGGAAACTCATGTGGGTTTTCGCTTTGACTGGTGATTTTTTTTCCCCTCCTGCCTTTAGGTTTTCTGAAGACAAAAATCCGTAAAACAAGAAATAAAACTGCTCTGGCCTTACCTGGGAAGACAGCAGGAGAAGTGAGCCAATCTCCACTGGTTTCTTGAACACAATATCATCGACAACCTTCAGCACTGGGCGCTTGCAGCTGGAATGGAAATCCTAACATGTATTTATAAGCACTTTCTCCCTTAAGGCAGTCAATGATTGACACCAGCAGCAATGATCCAATCAGCTGGTATACTGACGCCATGCATGAACCAGTGGCCAGTCAGCAGGTCTGGCCACCCAAATCAGTCAGTCGTTTCTTGATCAGTCATGGATTGTGGGGACCTACTCAAACCCAGGTTAAATAGTCAATTACTCAATGGCTAAACACATCACCTGGCTCCCCACTATACATGTCATATTATTACCCTTAAGATAAATTTGTCGATTTCTGATTGGTCAAAAGCCAAAGCATACGAAACCATGTAGGCGGATTTGACAGGTTGTACGAACTGTACATTTCGTCAAATCTGTCACATGACACACTACACAGGTTGTACAAATGACCTTGACCTTAGGTGGAATGTGGCTGCCAAACGGCTGATTGCTTCGAAATTTTAGAGTTACAATTATGAGTATAAACAGAGTAGTAAAGTTGTTGCCACAAATTCTTATTTGTTTGTGTCAATAAATATGCCCCCAAATTAAAATGCTTGTGTATTTTACTTGTCGTTTTACAAAACCTCAAATTCAATCATTTTTATCATAAACTAAGTCATCTCGAGTTATCTCCCTTTACGACCGTTCAGGAAAAATCATGGCGACACGGTTTGAGTCTCATTTTGCCGAAGATTGAATGTTTGTTTTTTAAAAGATAACCTAAATAAAAAGATCATAAGGGTAATAAATTCATCACACAGTGTTTTGAAAGGGTGTACGAGACTGTAAGACCCTTGTAAATTCCGTATTTCCTGTTCCAGAAATTTACAAGGGTCCTACAGTCCCATACACCCTTTCAAAACACTGTGTAATAAACAGAGTATGGAGTGATCCACTGACCTGTACAGTGCTGCAGTAGTCCACGCCACCTCCATCGCCTGTCTCATCAGGAAACCACCAAATATCTTGTGGTGGATGTTCCTTTGCTGAAACATTTAGCATTCATTTAGGGTCAAACAAGTGGTTAATGAGCTGGATATTTCATTCATATACGTTTTTACTATGTTTGAACAATGTTTCAATGTTCCTATTGTGTATATCTTTTTTCATGTTTCACCCTATGAAACATACATTATCATGAATTATGAAGATGATTATCATCAGTCAAGATAATTACCCACAATAAGACATGCATTATGAAGGTAATTACCCATGTTGTACTATATATCAGTTCAGTTCTTGAAAAGCATTTAGAAGTTGGACGAACATGAGTACATTTATACATTCTCCCACCTTGCGTTGCGTAAACATGTTAGAACATGCAGTGAAGCAACTGATCAATATTTGTTGAGTTTGAGTGAAATGAAACATTGCCAGGAACAGCGAAAAACAAGGGTGCTGAAACACACCAGCTCCATGTTTGATTCAAACGCCCAAACACAACAGCCTAGTGCATGTGGAAGACAAGAGTTCCCATGGAATCAGTTCAGCATACCTCAGGATGGCACATAATCATGTTTTTCAGCAAAGATTTCTCCATCCAGACACTACCAGGGGGCTTGACACGAACTTTGAAAGTCCCTCCCCTGGAACATGTAAACAGTCAATACTGAAATATGTAATGATAATGTTTTCTGACAGGTAGAAAAACATACACAAGTCAAGGACAAATTTGAGCTCATGGAAGAAGTGAGATGATTCCCCTGCATGTCCATATACTAATTCAACTTAATAATAATCGTTTTAGTTTATTACGTCATGTGAGACATGAAAAGATCATTTGAAATCATTCAGAATGAAATGGTAACATTCCCAGTTCAGTTGTTTTGGCAGCAGTGTGGGTTTCATACTGAATGCCCACTGATGTATAATAGTTTAACATAAATACCCCTCTCAGACATAGTATACAACACCCCTGAAGAGTTAGAACTGGTCTTCAGTAAGCCATACTGAGGAAACTAACAGCATCTGGACCCCGTTTCATAAAGCTCTTGTAGTACTACGACTATCGTAAGTCAATGTTACAGTATAGGAGGTAGGATTACTACGAGGAAAGTTACGAGATCTTAGGCTTACGAGAGCTTTGTGAAAAGGGGCCCTGGTGGTCAGGCACGCCGACTTGCTTGAGGCATGTGATCCACGCTTATGATATACAGTGAAGCTTCGTTAATCCGGACGGTTGCGTTTCTCAGCAAATTCATCCGGATTGCGATTAGTCCGGACTACTGAATCAAGACCCAAGTTCAAGTAAGAGTTGCTTCCCTTACTATTACAAAAACGACACGAATCCGGATAAAACAAATAAGCATTTAATGTTAAGCTTATAAAACAATGAATAGCAAGCACAACAATAATCTATAGTCATAGCAAAAAGTCTTTCATTGTTGTTTGTGTTCGTTTAACCTTCCTCATTGAATTCATCACATGAATAATTTTACTGAGTGACATCCGCATGTTGATCCGACATGTCTGATCACGTCCTTCCTCAGCACAGGAGAGGTAATGTCTTTGTATTGTGGTGTCAATCAAAGTGTAAATGTACAGCATCTTCAGTCGGGAGATTTTAATGTCTAATTAAAACAACAACCCTTAATAGACATTTCTCAAAAGTTAACAAGAGTTAATCTTGTCAACTCCATGACACCGAGTTTTTATTGTTTATGGACAATTAAGTAAACATCGCCGTGGGGTGTTGTTATGGTTCGTGAACACGACTTACAGCGTCTGGACTGTGAAGCAATTTATTGTTTATTTTACTGATTAGTTACAGCTACTGTTATTTCTGGATTATCGAGGCAAAATAAATAAGGCATAGATTGGTAACAAGCTAAAATCGTCCGGGAGGCGAGACATCCGGATTATCGGAGTCCGGACTAACGGGGCTTCACTGTATTTCACTGGATTATTTAGGTCCAGATTCAATCATTTATAGACTGACATAGTATAGCTGGCATATTGCCAAGGTCAGCATTAAACAAACAAACAAACAAACAAAAACAAAGTTTGCCAGAACCAAGGCAACCAGTCTTTGTTTCATCCCCTTAATGCTGAGCACAGTAACAACAAAAACCATTTGAGTTATTGCCCCTGATGTGAGTTATCTCCCTGTTTGGATACACAACTCCATGACACAAGACTAATGTCCATCTCACCAGACCCAGGTACTCAAGTGCTGGTCACTGCCCAGTGCCTCCCTGGGTGAATGTGATATATGAAATTGTTTGGCACTTTGCACAGAGAGAATGGGGATCCATTGACCACAGGGCTACACAGGCCCAAGAATTCTACAATTTAAGAGCAAATATTAAACAAGCATCTGTTGTGTGAGTGTGGGAAAAGACTTACTTAGTGTCAATAGTTTGTAGAAACAAGTCATGAACAATAAGACTCTCTTCCTCACTGGGTGGTGTCTTCAGCAAGATCTTCTTGGCCTCCTCTTGACGAAGCACCTTGCTAGCTGGAAGAGTGAGTGAGTGAGTGAGTCTCATTTTATGCCTCTTTTAGCAATATTCCAGCAATATCAAAGCGGTGGACACCAGAAATGGGCTTCATACATTGTACCCATGTGGGGAATCGAACCTGGGTCATCTGCATGACGAGCGAACGCTTTAACCACTAGGCTACCCCACTGCCCACTGGCAAAATATACTTTCAGAGTTTCAGGCCAAGGTTCAGTGTTAACTAAAACAGGACAAAATGGTTACTTAGGAAGTTATACAGATATATCATGCAAGCAGCGTAAAGATTTTTGTCTGCAAGAAGAATAGAAGTCATGCAAACACAAAGGATCACACAACAAGAAACCAATTAACAAAGTAACATTTTGCTAGACTTAACACCTCATACATTCATGACGGAAATTTATCAAATGATCAGTTTAGTTCCACCACTGTGGACCAACCTATGTCGGATGACCCATGAACCAGTGTAGGCTCACCAATGTAGGCTGAATAGTATAGGCACAGCCAGCTCACCAATGTAGGCTCACCAATGTAGGCTGAATAGTATAAGCACAGCCAGCTCACCAGTGTAGGCTGAATAGTATAGGCACAGCCAGAGTAGGCTCACCAATGTAGGCTAAATAGTATAGGCACAGCTAGCTCACCAGCATAGGCTCACCAATGTAGGCTGAATAGTATAGGCACAGCCAGAGTAGGCTCACCAATGTAGGCTGAATAGTATAAGCACAGCCAGCTCACCAGTGTAGGCTGAATAGTATAGGCACAGCCAGAGTAGGCTCACCAATGTAGGCTAAATAGTATAGGCACAGCTAGCTCACCAACGTAGGCTCACCAATGTAGGCTGAATAGTATAGGCACAGCCAGAGTAGGCTCACCAATGTAGGCTGAATAGTATAAGCACAGCCAGCTCACCAATGTAGGTTAACCAATGTAGGCTGAATAGTATAGGCACAGCCAGCTCACCAGCGTAGGCTCACCAATGTAGGCTGAATAGTATAGGCACAGCCAGAGTAGGCTCACCAATGAAGGCTGATTAGTATTGGCAGAGCCAGCTCACCAGTGTAGGCTGAATAGTATAGGCACAGCCAGAGTAGGCTCACCAATGTAGGCTGAATGGTATAGGCACAGCCAACTCACCAGAGTAGGCTCACCAATGTAGGCTGAATAGTATAGGCAGAGCCAGAGTAGGCTCACCAATGTAGGCTGAATAGTATAGGCACAGCCAGAGTAGGCTCACCAATGTAGGCTGAATAGTATAGGCACAGCCAGAGTAGGCTCACCAATGTAGGCTGAATAGTATAGGCACAGCCAGCTCACCAATGTAGGTTAACCAATGTAGGCTGAATAGTATAGGCACAGCCAGCTCACCAGCGTAGGCTCACCAATGTAGGCTGAATAGTATAGGCACAGCCAGAGTAGGCTCACCAATGAAGGCTGATTAGTATTGGCAGAGCCAGCTCACCAGTGTAGGCTGAATAGTATAGGCACAGCCAGAGTAGGCTCACCAATGTAGGCTGAATGGTATAGGCACAGCCAACTCACCAGAGTAGGCTCACCAATGTAGGCTGAATAGTATAGGCAGAGCCAGAGTAGGCTCACCAATGTAGGCTGAATAGTATAGGCACAGCCAGAGTAGGCTCACCAATGTGGGCTGAATAGTATAGGCACAGCCAGAGTAGGCTCGCCAATGTGGGCTGAATAGTATAGGCACAGCCAGAGTAGGCTCACCAATGTGGACTCTATGTCGACCGCTACAGCAGACCACGGAGGACTACTGTGAGCCAAAACAATAGGCCTACCACTTTATGTAACCACTGGCTGTAATCATTGTAGGTTACAACTGTAGGCCACTAAAATGTAGACCTAACAATGTAGTCCAAGACTGTAGGCCCATCACTGTAGGTCATCCTCCCGTAGGCCGCTAATACAGTACCCAAATGTACCCTGCCAATGTACCCCTCCATAGCACCCTTCTAATGTACCCTGCCACTGTACCCTGCTAATGTACCCTTCTAATGTACCCCACCAATGGACCCTTCTAATGTACCCCACCAATGTACCTTCTAATGTACCCAATGTACCCTTCTAATGTACCCCACCATAGCACCCTTCTAATGTACCCTGCCAATGTAACCCCTCACTCACCTTCTCCCTTCCTGAACAAAGCCTCCTCCTCCGGGCCATTTGGAACAAGGCGGTTGACAACAGCAGCCCTGGAACAGCAGCTGTATCACTGACCAAAGACCTCAAGTGATGCACATAACAGCAAGACCTCAGTAACATTGTGGTTCACAGTCAATCAGTAGAACAAAAGTCATGCGATTTGATGTCCACTTAACCACAACATTTGTTCAGTAATGATTTGAAAGCTAAGCCTTCCACGTTCCTTACAATGATCCACATTATCCTCATGTAGCATGTTGTGGAGCTATCCCATGGAGGACATCCTTACCTTGTCAACTTGTTGCTGGGTTGCCCACCTTTGTCATGTGGACAAGGCTTGGTTGGTCCATGGTTCTATTCCCAGCATGGGACTCACAATGTTCCCTACAACATTTTTCAACCTACTTTTCCATCACAAAATCACTTGTGGAATTACTGAATACCATGTCATTCTGATACCTGATGTCTGTAGCTGTTTTCAGTTCACGCCATATGAGCTTGCTCCACACCGCTTGGTATCATGTGGATTACAGATGGGCCAAGTGTGCCATATGGCATCAGGCTGACTTGTAAGTGTCCACAGACAAATGTCACGTGACACCATGTTATCCGTTACCTTCGTAATAAATTGTAATTAACCTTGACCTATTCAACCCTTTAGATTCATTTCCATAAAGTCTTAGGCATTACTAGATACACTTAGTGTAGCAGTGTGGATGTGCCCGAGTCAGTTAGCTGACAGGCGGACAATCCAAAGGTTGCAAGTTCACGTCCGATCAATTCTCTAAAATCTGGTTGCGAGTCTCTGTAACATGTGACCTACGACAGAGATCATTGCACACAAGAAGTTGTGGTGCTGTATTCTGAACGTGCTCCAGCACAAATGCAGTAAAGGTGACATGATTCACTTTCCAGTCTGAATCACATTCTGGGTTCGAATCCCAGTAACTGATCCAGCTGTGGTCCGCTCTATATCCATGCTGATTTCTCACAATAGTGGTAAATGTGGGTTTCCTCTCACACTGTAACTGATACCCCTCCATATAACCTTGAGAATGCTACTTTCAAACATTACTTACCTGTTGAGCATAGTACTTACACCTACTTGTTTAGTTTTGTACCTACCTGTTTGTGACTGGGTCTCTTGCAACCATTATGAAACTGGCACTGAGTATCTTCTGCCATGTGTCGTTTATTTCCTGTGAAAAATAACAAACATGCAGAACGAAGCTGTCAGTATTACCAATTACAATACATAATCAGTAAGAGCTGTCCCCATATAGATTTAAAGCATATTTGTACATGTCCAAATAGTCTGCCATGGTGCAACAGCCTGCTACATCAGTGAACTAACTTTAGGGATAACAACATCTTTTTTCTGTATCGAAACGTCACACTCACAAAATAAAAGAAGTTGTTATGCATAAAGTTTGTTCAATTGTACTTCCCAACTTCTAAAATGCCTCTCCAAGAAGTTAACCTGCTCCATCACTATACTAGTCCGCCATTTTGTACCCACCTGCTCGAGGTTCATAGTGGCCTCCATAGAAGACGTTCCAGCCCATGTCAGGTGACCGGTCATCTTGATGTCATGGTAAGGGGACACCACATGGTTGTGTAGCTCTGCAACATCAACACAAACAATCCATCGCCATCCCAAAAGGACGCATGTATAACTCAGTAATGAAATACACAATGCCATTTTAGAAAGTCAAACGTAACATATGTTATATTTGGGATTACACTTTCTCAGTAAAGTACAGATTCTAGTACTTTTTGGGTTGAGTCCCACCCAAGATTTGAACCCACACCCTCAGAGTCAAGCACCTAATTGCCACAAAGTCAGACGCCTAGACCACTCAGCCACCACGGCTTACACAAAAAGGTGAGTGAGAGATAACGTTCAAAAATAAATTGTAAGATCATTACTAGTGAGTGAGTTAGTTTAGTTTTACGCCGCACTCAGCAATATTCCAGCTATATGACGGCAGTTTGTAAATAATCGAGTCTGGACCAGACAATCCAGGCATCAACAGCATGAAAAGATGATCACTAAGATGCAATTCACAAATATTCACCAGATCATCAAACAACTCGACGGAGTCAACTCACCTATCCTGTCTACGAGAGCTGTGACAATTCCTACTGGGGCATGGTCCTCAGGGTCAACGTAAGGGTCACTGTAGTGCGTGTAGCATATACATCCTGAAACAGGCAAAATAAGTCGTACAGATTCACAGGGAACAGGTTAAGTGTGACACTGTATCTGATCACAAACAGATTTCATCATTTTAAGTATCACTTGGAAATTACCAGTTGGGATGCATCATACTATCATCACTTTTGTGGCAAACATAATATCACATACAACCATGGCACTATAGCTTACTTGAATCAGTAAAGAAATGTCAACAAAGACAGAAACTGTCAGCATTCATATTCCAATAGGGGCAGCAGGGTAGCCTAGTAGTTAAAGCATTCACTAGCCACGCCCACGACCCGGGTTCGATTCCACATTGGTACAATGTTTGAAACCTATTTCTGGTGTCCCTCTGATATTGCTGGAATATTGCAAAAAGCATAAAACGAAACTCACTCGCTAACTCACTCATGTTCCAATCATTTCTGAACAAGTACATATGAAAAAAAAAGAAATCCATAAAGTTAAAAATGATTTGATTTTTTTACGAGGACGGTTGCGTCCGAGTGCTTTAACGTTATAATAGTTCAGGGCGAAAGTGTGTTTTATTACACTATACATGGTGGTAAGGCGAACTGTATTTCTTTTCTAAGATGCCAAATTTAATACTTTCTAAGGATAATTACGATTAATTTAAGGCAGAAAACAAATGACGGTGTCGGTGACCTAAAAAACCCAAATGATAACAGTTTGATGATGTTCGGATTAAATATCTTCTCTGAATTATTTTAAGTACATCTGTATAGATCAGTACATCCAGATGAAGCTGATTGTCAAGCGACATTCCACGATTGCATTGTGGGAATGTAAACATTGCAAACGTTACCGTGTCGCTGAAAACTTGTGAGTCGAATTGACACATTTTAACCGTCGTAAAACATAAACGTAATGTTTCCACCAGTGATGTTAGCTCCTTGAAGCAACAGCAAACCAAGAAACGGGATGCAACGGAGTAGTTTAGTTTAGGAGGCTGTACGAGGCGATGACAACTGACATACATCGTGACCTCGCTTACATTTACATTGCGACGTAATGTAAAATGGTTTGATTACGAGGGGGCACACTAGAATGGCGCAATGTGACGGGATAACGTCATTCAATTGTTACTTCATCATATCTTTATTGTCTGATAATGTATTTTTTTTTTGATTGTTCTAACCGCTAGGCATCTTAGAATTGAAGATAACGTGATACAATTGTTGTGCATTTGTTTTGTTCTTTGATATCATAATAATAAGAATTCCATCTGTTTATCAGTAGTTGGTAAATAAGAAAGGCGGGACCAGACCATCAAGTGATTGTTACTCAAGCAACGATCCATGCTTGTAGGCGTCTGATAACATGCAGGGTGGTGGTGTAGCCTAGTGGTTAAAGCTTTGGCTGCAAAGTGTGGGCGAGTATGGTTTTATGTCACTTTCAGCAATATTCCAGCAATATCATGGCGGGGAACACCAGAAATGGGCCGCACACATTGTACCTATGTGATGAGTGAATGCTTTAATCACTAGGCTACCCAACCAAGCTCACTTGCCTGACCACTGGTCACCTAGCAACAGTACAAATTACCATGTACCCAGAGTCTTAGTTAGAAGAAACGTACAAGTCAAGGTCATGCTTCACCAGTCTTGCAATTACAGTGAGTGAGGAAGTATGGTTTTCCGCTGCTTTCAGTAATATTCTTTCAGTAATATTCCAGCAATATCACGGCGAGGGACATCAGAAATAGGGCAGTGCAATATAACTGGTTTATCGGTATTTACCGGTTCAGATATGAAAACGATTCATATTGCGATACGCTGATCAAAAACCGCTATTTTGACATGCATTCAGAAAACTTTGTAACACTCAGAAACCTTCGGATATTTCCGTTTTTTTAAATTGTCCTTTTCCTTGTTTCATTTGTGCCAAATATTATTTACATTTTTATTTTGTCATGATTAAATTTTTTATTAAAGCTTAATCAAGCATAGTGATTTTGTTGTGTTTTTGCTTTATAAATCAAGCATTACCTTGATTACAAGTATTTTTTTTTTTAAAAGAAAATTCTTGCAATATATTGCAATACATATCGGAATATCTGCTTTTGCATTGCAATATAACACAATATGAAAATTCTCTGCAATGCCCATCCCTAATCAGAAATGGGTTTCACACACTGTACCCATGTGGGGAATTGAACCCGGGTCTTTGGCATGCCGAGTGAATGCTTTAACCACTCAGCTACCCCACCGCCCTTGGACTAATACCCCCATCACACCGAACTACTTCTCAGTACGATCTTGAAAAATGGTCGGATCGGGCTCGAACTGTGTGCGAATAAACTGGGCATAGTGGCACCTATTTACAGTCTGTTTAAGAACTTTATCTACGGGCTCGGTTGGACTAGGGACGGAAGGGTGCTCCAGAATGTTGCACATGTCCAACGTTCTACCTGTTCTAAAAAGGGACAGAGTGACAACATGCCTAAAACGAGATTGCCGCACTACGAACGGAATTGCCGTACTTCAAGCTTACTGGGGATGTGTGCGGATGTAGTGCAGTCGGGTATCAATTGCAATACGTTTGTACACAGTTTCCACCACATCCACCTGTTCGCAGACAGACCTAACTTGACCACATTATGTCGTTCGTTGCTATTCTGTGCAAATATGTTAAAAACAAAATGAATTGTTCTGAAGATGTTCATAGTACGTTTCTACACGGTTCTAAAAGTTCTCATTACGTTCTACTCGTTGTTAGTAAGTCTATGTAGTTCTCACTCAGTTCTTACTGCGTCAACACCGTGTACAGTCAGATATGACAAGGTAGGATATAAATCCATGCATTTTTAACACGTTCTTCATTTGGGATAGAGAATTCTACTTGTGAAACATGAACAAGTTTGCAGCTGTCAATGTGTTGAATGCTGGTTTCCAGCAATTTTACCAAGTCTAAACATAACCCCAATCGTCTGGGACAGGGTAAAGATGACATAGACGTACTGAGAACTGTTTATGATCGAACTAGCACCTTAATTATTTAAAAAGTTACACGCTCTATTACGACACGACATTGCGGTATTTAGGTTTAAATTGCGGTTTGGAAGAGCTGTTTCGTTATGCAATAAATTGTGATACTTGGAGGTCACATGCAACGTTTAACACAACTTTGCAGATTCTGATACCTATCGGTATGGACTTACCGAAACAAATCATCAAAAATGCAAATTCAACTTATAAAGTTGAAAAATAACGCGATGAAAAAAACCGCGCGAAATCGGAGTTCAAACGATACACTACTTTTCCCCAAGCGCTTGGAAAAAGTGGTTTCAACAGCTGGGCTGCGCTGTGCTGGGCTGCGCTCATAGCACATGCGCAGTGAAATAGGTTCGCGCAGCTTGGAAGCGGGTTGTTCGGACTATAAGGTCGTGAGCAGGAGTAGTCTAATCAAAACAAATAGTAAATAATCTACTCATTACATAAAAGAACCTTGTTAGGATCTAGATCTACTCAGCTATGTGTCAACCAGTAAGGCGTTCGACATTTCAAGACGGAAAACCTTCGCTGGCGGTGAATACTCGGTGAAGGCTTTGGTGTAAGCTATTTTTCTAATGTTTTGTTGATATTTCACAGGCGAGCTTTTTATATGTTATGACAGCAGATTACCGATTTAACTGTTTATATAATTTCATAAGTCTATTTCACCACACGTTCTTCTTACCAAGTCACTTTCTCAGTTCGATACTTAAAAGCAATGTCATTATTTAGCATTGACAGAATTTCTAACTGTGATATAGATATGTCGTTGTCACACACAAAACTCAATGTCTGTTTTATTGACACCTATGTGTCTGCCTGCCTGTCTTCTAATGACAATATTCAATACACACCTTCGATCACTGACCACATGCAATTTGAACTTAACACCTATCAGACTATACACCATTAACAAAACGCATTGATTTATGGCCCGAGTTCGGTCTCTGTCACATTATGTAATTACACAGACAGGCAGGTGTGATACTTGTACACATGACATGTTATGATGTCTGTTGATTGCAAAATGTTATACACAAAAAATCAGCATGTATTTACAAAACCCAACATCCCTATATGTACACACTCAATGAGCCGTGAGGGCATCGGCAAATGAACCAGCCGTTACACTTGAGTGCACACCACCCGCTCTGACTGGGTTCGGTATCCTGGCTGCTTCGTTTCTAGGGAAGTAAAACCAATTACAAAATATTGCACTTTTGATTTGCGATTGTACGCTTATAATTTTGTTTATATGTTTTTTCATAATCAGTAATGTATATCATATGTCATGAATAAGTGATAATTGTGTTTTAATTGTGTTTGATTTTGTGGTTGCATGTGACCTTTAGGTTTGAGTTGTGATACATATGTAATTTATCTTACCTCACACATAAATGTTGCTTTCTGATTGGCTGAGTGCTCTTCTATTATTTTCAAAGTACCCTGATTACAAGCGAGGTACATTTCAATGTACCCCGCTGTCAATGGCAACTCATTCTGTACTTCGTGGTAGTAATTCTTTATCTCGAATAACGTATGATGTACGGAAATTACCAATGTTTTGCGAATGCAGATTGATGGAAGGGAGATAACTCTAAATCTGTTTTCTTGTCAGCAAAATCTAGCGATGGCTACAAAAAGATTTGTACCCGTGCTTCAAACAATTCAAAATTAACATTAAGGTGTTCGGTAAGAAAAATATGTTGTTCACTGGTCCCTCGGGGCGCATGGGTTGATGTACCCTTGATGTTTGTTTATGTTCCCTGAGCACCATGTCTCCCCCTCGTGACCAGTGAACAACTTATAATGCTGCCATTGCCATATAATGTATCATAAAACTTGTATGTTCGCAGTGTTCGAAATACTTGCCCGACCTCCAGGAACGGGTTATTTTCAACACGGACTCATTAAACAGTCGGACTGCCAGATTCCCAAATTCACCTGCCCAACGGTCAGGTTAAAATTTAGATATGTATTGTATATGAAGATATTTTGTGGGCAGGTATGTTTTGGTCAGGGCTGGCAAGTAATACATCTAAACAGCCCTTTGGTCTGGCTGAATTTTTTGGAAGTTTCATACCCTGATGTTTGGCAGTTGCAACACGAATTCTTTTCACATGAAAAGGGATTTTTTTTATGATCATTCATTGACTGTGGGCCACAAATTGCTCGGTTTCTCCTCAAGTCGTGTTTTCTTTGCGAAGCCATGTTTTTGCGCTTGTCACACTCAGCAATATTCCAGCCATTATTTGGCGGCGGGCTGTAAATAATCAAGTCTGGGCCAGACAATCCAGTGATCAACAGCATGAACATTGATCTACGCATTTGGGATACTATGACATGTTCAACCAAGTCAGCCAGTCTAGCCACCCGATTCCGTGAGTTGCCTCTTACGACAAGCATGAGTGAGTGAGTGAGTTAAGTTTTACGCCACACTCAGCAATATTCCAGCTATATGGCGGCGGTCTGTAAATAATCGAGTCTGGACCAGACAATCCAGTGATTACCAGCATGAGCATCAGTCTGCACAATTGGGAACCAATGACATGTGTCAACCAAGTCAGCGAGCCTGACCATCTGATCCTCTTACGACAAGCATGGGTTACTGAAGATCAATATTCTAACCCGGACCTTCAAGGGTAACGACAAGCATGGCTTACGGAAGATCAATTCTAACCCGGATCTTCACAGGTGACGAGTGTGAGTCAACCTTAAGAGCCTAACCTGCCAGAGTATCGAGATCCTCCATTATCCGCCCGAAGCGAATACCCTTCTGGAAAGTGATATAACGTTCCCTCACTGTCAGATCCGTCTCCAGGGGGGATGATGGCCTCCCAGTAGCTGTCCTTCATCCCTCGGTCCGCCAGCTCATCCTGGGACTTCCGCACTCGCGACACACTGGGCATACAATTGGGCCTGCAAGGAAGAATTTGGTATTTATTTTGTCGAAAATTATGGATAGGATATAGCCTTTTGTTTGTTTTACACCATAGCAAGGAATATTCTACCTATATCATGGCAACCAAATATTCCTAGCGGGACTCGTACAAGCAGTGTTCGATATGAGTGAATTGAGCCACATCTGTCATCAGTGAACTATGATAATACACTGGACTCACAGTGGACTGCAACCAGGAAACTCAGTCAGCAGAGCCACCTGCTGATGTGATGTAGGTCACAAGGCCAGCATTGTAGCAATACAGTGCTGAGGACTGACTGACTGAGTTGGGTTTTACGCCGCTTTTAGCAATATTCCAGCAACATCACGGCGGGGGACACCAGAAATGGGCTTCACACATTGTACCCATGTGGCGTGACGAGCCAACGCTTTAAACCACTAGGCTACCCCACCGCCCACAGTGCTGAGGATCGATGAGAACCTGGGATCCTAAAATACTGGTGTGAACGAATAATAGGCCGCTTCAGCTGATCAAGGCCCCCCCATTTCACACAGCGACTCCAGCACTACACACATGCTAACTTTAACTTTAGCTCTAACTTTAACCAAGAATGATCACTTTGAAAAAACACAGGTTAAAACAAGTGATTTTATGTCATTATATATCAATGAGAAATCAGCATTAAAATATTCAGTTTCTGTGATTTAATTTATTTTCAGAATGCGAAGTTGAAAGAAAGGCCTGTCTTGTTCAAATGGTGAAGTGGTAAAAGGTTTTAGCTTCAGAAGAATACGGCAAACATGGTCAAAAAGTGATGTCACATCGTAACTTTACTGTGCAGTGGTAACATCTGACCTGATTATTAATCATTTTGAATGTTATGCCTTGGTTTTGGTGCAGTGAAATAACAGAAAATGTGTTTTCAAGGAAAAGATGGTTTAAACTATAATGATTTCTGTTAAACATTTGAATACTTCTGTCAAGTGACCAATAGCTTATAAGTAAATGATAAGTAAAAAGAAATACCCCGTAGAGGATATCTCTGTGGGCATCAGACTTGGATAATAAAATACATTGCTTCTATTACTGTTTTACCTACCCATAATCTGTTGATGTTCCTACCATCTTCAGGAGAATATTTCGAGCTGAAAAATTAATCATCACATTTGGCTAAAGTTACTCAAATAGCTAAAGGGAGACAATCAGTGTTTTCCATAATAACCACAGAGAAATTTGGGGTGTTTAATTCCAAGACTCTTGATGAGGGATAAGATGGCCAGGCAATACTACACAATGGCAGGTCAAACTGTACATTCATAGCTATGACACTGTGTAACTCAATAATGTTATATAGTACCAATAAACTTAGCATTTACTGGAACACAGAGTACTTTCTAGCCACTGATAAAATTCAGAAATAAACATATGAATTGTAGTTGCTTCGCGGAGTTTGATGCCAAGATGTTTCAATTGGAAACAACAGTGAAAGGACGTTTTAGGTGTTAACAAACTTCAGCTGATGTTTATTAGCATTGAAAATATGCTCAGCAATTAATGACTGGTCAATATTGTGCAGACTTCCTTTTCATGGTGATGCAACTCATGGCATCATATGCTGTCATGGCAATTAAATCTGCCCGTTTAGAGAAACGCACTAAAAATAATTTGATCAAAGTTTCACTGATAGATATTAATGAAATGCAATATTACATACTCCCATCTCGAGTTCCATTTCTTACAATGTTTTCAAGATAAGTACATGTATTCATACACAAAATCCAAAAACTTTGATGCCATCAAAGTTCATTTCTGAGGTTAACAACATGTTCCAACCAATCAGCTTGAGGCTCACACTCCATACATTTTCAGTGTTCTGTGTTATCATATCTGCCGTGCATAATTAGACTGAGGTACAAGTTCTGGTGACCGCAGCATCAGTAAGGATATTTAGGATATTAGAGATGTAGTGGTACTGTAACCGAGCTGTGGGTGATGCATCAACAGAAGACCAGACACTGGCTACAGGTTGTGAGGTTTGTTCATTCTCTGTGCAATCTTTTATTAACAGACACCAGGCAGCTGTGTGTGACACTGGGCTGTGTAGAAGAAGCCACCTAGTGTGGAGTTTGGCTCGAATGGAATATACTGTTGCTTTAGATCTGAAATTTTAGTCTTTGGTGTGCTCCGGGATGTGATCTGATTGTACAATGGCTGACATGCAAGTACCTTCTCTTATTGTCATGATGGGTGGCGCTGTTGTATGACATCTTGCCTGAAGCTGACTCACCACGGCACGTGAAAAGTGGGCACACAGAAACATCCTGAAACATTAACAGAGGAACCCATAATATACACGATGCAAACAGAAGTTCTGGATACGGTAATCAGTTTGTACAGAGAGATTTATCTACATCCGTTCAACTGGTATTTGGCTTGAAAAAACAAATGGCATTTGGACCTTTGACAACCGTGAGTAAAAATTAGCATATTGGAAAAGAAATTTTGTAACAATTTGTAATGATAAGGCTAAAATATTTGTATTTTACTGATAATGGGATTACGAAAGAGGATATGGTTTTAATGCTTAGTAATATGTTATCGTGCTAGTTGCATTATTAAGATATCACTGAGGTAAGAAAGCAAATTATGGTCAGAGATTTCCCAATAAAACCTTTTTCCCAAATTCCCTGTCATCTCAGGGCACTTGGTTTCGAATCCAGGATACATCATGGGGTACATGTATGAAATGACTAGACCATCCAGTCAAGTAGAAAGTTCTACTGATGTACAGGTCTACTGGACAATGTATGTCACATCATTAATCAGCACGAGCAGGAGACCATATAACCTTATTATATAGCCTCTGATTTCAAACTGACTGCGTCAATGCAGGTTTGCTTGGCAATGTTATGAGGAATGAGAGTTAGCTCTCAAACCTCACGTTTTACGCTTATTTTTCATGTGTGCTAATAAAACCTATCATTCACTAGCCGTGTAGTAACCCCAGCCTATACTGGTGCTGGTTAGTGGAAAATTATGAAATATAATACTTACAATCAACAAAAATGAAAAAAATGTGGTATATTTGGGGGAAAAAAGTGAGGATATGTTACGTAAAAACTTACTCTGATGCCTTGTAGTCTATGTGGGACTAGTGGTATGTCAGATGTGCTGTAGGTATGGGCTACCTGTAAAGAACTGTTTATCAGACCCATCGGTATCACATATATATATTACAGTAGTGTAATACAAAGTTACATTCTCATAGTTTTAATGAATAACAGGAACAGTTACCTGTAGGGCTGGGAAGGGTAACCCGGATACCCGGGATGGATGGGTAATGAGTTGGACCCAGGTACCCGTCTCAATACCCGGACCCGTTAAAATCATGTGACTAATAGATTAAACAATGTATAACATGTTATTCTTTCATCATTAAAAGGTTACTAGTATATTGTCCTCGAAGATTTAGACATAATTTACAGTCACTACTTTTTGAATATAATACATGGTTAAGATATTGAAAAACTCGAAATTTTAGCCTCCGAGGTGAAGAATATATTGCCATTTCTTACAAATTTGATGTCAGGAATTGGCATAACGGGTATCCAGGTAAGGTAATAGGGAGTAGGGTACCCGGGTAGAAAATTTGGAACCGTCCCAGCCCTAGTTACCTATGCAGCTAGGTTTGGCCTCTTTGTAAATTACCTTATTTTTAACAACTTTCGTTTTGAACAAATATTGATGTCAGGAGGTTAATAAAAACAAAAAACACAGACACACTTTACTAACAGATAGCTTGGGTTGTCACTCAGGTCAGTCTCCGGTTTAACTTGGTTGTCAGTTTTTGTACAACCAATCAAGAACTGGCGATGTTGATGCTGAATATGACCTGAATATAATGCGCGATTTGTTTATAAGATCAAGTTGTCTATAATTATAGCTCAGAGAGATTGTGTGATTAGGGAAAATAACAAATTTCTTCCAAAAAACCCCCCCATAAAAACACGGAAACGGCTGCCATATATATCACAAGACGTATGTATCCCTATTTCTTGTTGACAATATTGTAAACAGAAGCATTTCTGAGCTTAGATCCAGCCCATAATAACAGGACGCTCAATGTCCGATTGTAGCCTGAAACCAGAGACCATATACTAATATTGTATGGTCTCTGCTGAACCTCAGACAGCTCGTTGGTTTAGTTCTTCCCACTTTCTGCTCCCATATCATGCTAAGGCTATACCATATTTACCTTTAACCTAGTGGGCATACCTACCTTTCTGAAACCTACAGGCTTTATTGACCCATCTTTACAATCTTAGCCCAAAATCACATTCGATCACTCTCACTATCATACCGGTACATGTTTACATGGTTACTGCAAAAACGCGCACTTGTCATTGAAAGGAAACGAACAGTGCATGGGTGTCTTTTGTATTGCATGCATTGCATTTCAATCGATGATATTGTTATAGATAATGAGAAGCTTTCTAATTTCTTAGAAAAATAAACTAATGATAACAATAAAATTTGGTATCGTTATGCAAAATAGTCCAGCTGTATCGTAATAAGTTACGGTTAAAAGCTCATCCAGCGAAAACGTCATCCGACACGGGATGGCCTAAAAGTCGGGCCGGGCCGGGCCAAGGCGGGCCAAATATATAATCGGCTAATAAACCCATTAACGATCACCATGTCTACAATTAATTAATGCAACATACACGCATGGTAATAATGATCAATCAGAAGCCATAAACGCGTACCATAATAACTTTATTACGAGTAAATCGGCTAAAACTCAGGAAGACGAGAAGCCTGTGAACTGGCTGACCGAGGTTACGTCTAAAAGCCGAATCGTTAAACGAAACAGGATTTAAAACGTATAAATACTTCAGTCAATTCCGATACACATTTCCATCGGTTTATTATATCTATATCCAATCAGATACTACCCCATAAATTCATTATTCATCGTATTTAAAGCATGCCCACCTTTATATGATACGATCTCTCCCCCACACTCTCAACATTATCTCGGCCACAGTTGTTCGGTCCGGCTTGACTCGAGCCGTCAAAAGCAACTTAAACGTAACACACGTATCTTGAATTGTGTTTAAATCCATAGAATGGTATTATATCTACTAAATATCGCTTGGTAATGTTATAAAATGCAGCATGTAAAGAAAACGGCTCCGTTAAAGTGAAGCCCTCGTCTCTCATTTTTCAACATAGCCTCAATCGAAAGTGTTTAGTCTCTGTTCCGCCCGACTTGGCCCGTGCTGTCAAAAACACCTTAAACCTCACACAAGTATCTTGAAATGTGTTTATATCCATAGATTAGTATTATATCTACCTACATATCACTTCACAGAGTCTCAAAGCGTAGTATTTGAAGCAAAAGCGTTGGTCAAAGTGAAGCTATCTTTTCTACTTATCCTCAACAAAGACACTGTATCACAATCATTCGGTCTGCCGTGGCCCGGGCTCTTAAAAACAACTTAAACCCCACATATGTATCTTGAAATGTGTTTAAATCCATAGATCAGTATTATATCTACCTAACTATCAATGTGTAATGTTATCAAATGCCACATGTAGAGAAAACAGGCTCGTTAAAGTGAAGCCATTTTCTCTCTCCATTCTCAACATAGCCTCAATCAAAAGTGTTCAGTCTCTGTTCAGCCCGACTTGGCCCGTGCTGTCAGAAACAACTTCAATCTCACACATGTATCTTGAAATGTATTTATATCCATAGATTTGTATTATATCTACCTACATATTACTTCACATAGGCACAAAGCGCAGTATTTGAAGCAAAAACGTTGCTCAAATTGAAGCTATCTTTTCTATATATTCTCAAGAAAGACACAGTATCACAAGCATTCGGTCCGCTTTTGCCCGGGCTCTCAAAAACAACTTAAACCCCACACATGTATCTTGAAATGTGTTTAAATCCATATATTTGTATTATATCTACCTAACTATCAATGTGTGATGTTACAAAATGCTACATGTAAAGATAACTGGCTGGTTAAAGTGAAGCTTTCTCTCTCCATTCTCAACATAGCCTCAACCAAAAGTGATTAGTCGCTGTTCAGCCCGACTTGGCCCGTCCTGTCAAAAACAAACTAAACATCACACATGTATTTTGAAATGTGTTTATATCCATAGATTAGTATTATATATACCTACATATTACTTCACAGAGGCCCAAAGCGTAGTATTTGAAGCAAAAACGTTGCTGAAAGTTAAGCTATCTTTTCTATATATTCTCAACAAAGACACTGTATCACAAGCATTCGGTCCGCTTTGGCCCGGGCTCTCAAAACCAACGTAAACCCCACATATGTGTCTTGAAATGTATTTAAATCCATAGATCAGTATTATATCTACCTAACTATCAATGTGTGATGTTACAAAATGCCACATGTAAAGATAACTGGTTGGTTAAAGTGAAGCCCTTTTCTCTCTCCATTCTCAACATAGCCTCAATCAAAAGTGTTTGGTCTCTGTTCAGCCCGACTTGACCCGGGCTCTCAAAAACACCTTAAACCTCACACATGTATTTTGAAATGTGTTTATATCCATAGATTAGTATCATATCTACCTAAATATCACTTCACAGAGTCTCAAAGCGTAGTATTTGAAGCAAGCAACTTGCTCAAAGTGAAGCCCTATTTTCTATACATTCTCACAAAGACACAGTATCACAAGCTTTCGGTCCGGCTTGGCCAGGGCTCTCAAACGCACCTTATACCTCACAGATGTATCTTGAAATGTGTTTAAATCCATAGATTGGTATTATATCTACCCAAATATCTCTTCACTGAGTCACAAAGCGTAGTATTTGAAGCAAACACCTTGCTCAAAGTGAAGCTGTCTTTTCTATACATTCTCAACAAAGACACAGTATCACAAGCTTTCGGTCCGGCTTGGCCCGGGCGCTCAAACGCACCTTATACCTCACACATGTATCTTGAAATGTGTTTAAATCCATAGATTAGTATTATATCTACCTAATTATCACTTTGTAATGTTATCAAATGCAACATGTAAAGATAAGTGGTTCGTTAAAGTTAGCCCTTTTCTCTCTCCATTCACAAGATAGCCTCAATCAAAAGTGTTTAGTCTCTGTTCAGCCCGACTTAGCCCGTGCTGTCAAAAACACCTTAAACCTCACAGATGTATCTTGAAATGTGTTTAAAGCCGTAGATGAGTGTTATATCTACCTTAATATCACTTCACAGAGTCTCAAAGCGTAGTATTTGAAGCAAGCACCTTGCTCAAAGTGAAGCCCTATTTTCTATACATTCTCAACAAAGACACAGTATCACAAGCTTTCGGTCCGGCTTGGCCAGGGCTCTCAAACGCACCTTATACCTCACACATGTATCTTGAAATGGGTTTAAATCCATAGATTGGTATTATATCTACCTAAATATCACTTTGTAATGTTATCAAATGCCACATGTAAAGATAAGTGGTTCGTTAAAGTTAGCTCTTTTGTCTCTCCATTCACAATATAGTCTCAATCAAAAGTGTTTAGTCTCTGTTCAGCCCGGCTTGGCCCGTGCTGTCAAAAACAACTTAAAACCTCACACATGTATCTTGAAATGTGCTTATATCCATAGATTAGTATTATATCTACCTACATATCACTTCACATTCTGTGCACAATCCGACATTCTTGAACTGTTTATTACCTTAAAGTTCTCCATGTCCCACAAGGGATCGGGAATGTCCGCCACCTTGGCTCCGGACAGTGACCTTGTCACGATCCCTTCTTTCTGCGTATAACGTCCAACATACTTCAGTAACGAGTCGCCAACAAGTAATGCAGACATTTTCAGATCAGATGATTTGAATATAGGCTGCTACTGCCCAGCTTGGCCAGTTTTATATGGATGCATTTGGAGAAATCTAGGCGAGACACTGTGGATTTAATGAAAACATACTTCTCCCACTGCTCTCTCTAATACTTCTATTGTCTGTATGCGTGTTCAGGAAAACAGGATTATCTGAAACGCTTTAAAGTTTACAACATCAGGAAACGGCATCTCAGAGTAACCTTTGGCAAAGCTCTCACAGTGAAAACAATGTTCCCCCGAGCCTGAGCTGGGCAAGACAGTGTCATTGCCGTGGATGTGTTTTCATACTTTCGTATGTTCAAATTATATAACCATAACATCTCATACGGCAAGTCATTTTAGCTGATACCTTCTGATATTTATTAAATTACTGATATGTTCAAATCGTGTCATGAATAGCTTCAGCCGGCTATCTATATCTGTACTAGTATGAATTGATGTTTATACTGTGGAAACTGTACGGAGAACATCCTGTATTCTGAAACCACTAAAAACCCCACCTCTTTCAAGCATTTCATGTCATATAATTGGGTATAATATCTTCTGATATTTATTAAGTTAAGTATATGTGTAAATCATATCACGAATAGCTTCAGCCTGCAAAAGGTATCGGAACTAGTATTCATTAATGTTTATACTCTGAACATAATGACGAGTGGAAGCATAAATAATTATATATATATATATATATATATATAATTATTTATGCTTCCACAGCCTATATATACAACAGAACAAATGTCTCATTTTTAGCATTACTAATTTAGTCAGTGATTACATGCCCCTCTGTGATAAACGTTATGAAGAAACGGTGGAGTAATAATAAATAACACTGAAGGCCCCTGAACGGTAATTAAGGGCAACAATGGAGTATGTTAATTGAATCACAACACCTAGCTGATTGCAATTAGTCAAGGGGCAATTACAAGCTGGATACAGGTGTAATTAACAGGTGTATTAATTTCATTAGCCCGCACAGAGCCAGATTGAACACTGGGCTTCACTTTAAGCAACGTGTTAGATTCAAATACATGAACAAAGCTTTGAGCCTCAATAAAGACGTATTTAGGTAGATATAATACTAATCTATGGAATTAAACACAAATCAGGACATATGTGTGGGGTTAAGGTTGTTTTTGAGAGCCCGGGCCAAGCCGGACCGAAAGCATGTTATACTATGTGGTTGTTGAGAATGTATAGAAATTAGGGCTTCACTTTAAGCAACGTGTTTGTTTCAAATACTACGCTTTGAGACTCTATAAAGACGTACTTAGGTAGATCTAACACTAATCTATGGATATAAACAATTTCAAGATACATGTGTGAGGTTTAGTTTGTTTTTGACATCACGGGCCAAGTCGGGCTGAACAGAGACTAAACACTTTTGATTGAGGCTATGTTGTGAATGGAGCGAGAAAAGGGCTTCACTTTAACGGAGCAGGTTTCTTTACATGTGGCATTTTGTAACATCACACAGTGATAATTAGGTAGATATAATACTAATCTATGGA